CATAGCTCAGTTAATTCAGAAAAAAGGCATATTTCTTGATAAGACTGTGCTGTGGCTGAAGAGCAAGACCTGGGAATAGGGCCTAATTGAAGCAGCTGTCTGAAGTTGGCCACAATATATTTTATCAACACAATGGTGTGTGGCCATTGCAATATACAAGCTGAAGCATTGGATTTCCATTAAGATCCATTGAGGTGTAGCAGAGATTACACCAGATATGGATTGTTGCAATGCAGGCTTAAATCCATGCTCAGTGAAGCCCTGAGTGACCTTGAACCTGGCTTTTATTCACCTACTTTGTAGGGCTGTTGTGACACTAGTAGAGGGAAGAAGATGTGTTCCACCCCAGTTTCCTTGGAAAATAGTTACGCAGTCCCAAGATGCCCCCGGAAGAAGGGAATGGTAAGCCACTTCTGTGTACTCTCTACCTAAAAAACCTTGCAAAGTTTTGCCATACATCAGAACTGACTTGACTACACACAGATAGGTAAAGGAGTGTGGCTCCAAGTGTTGTCCCCCTTTTCACTGCTTCCCAGTATAAATTTTTTTTAAAAGGAGATGTGGCAAACATGATTTTCACTCACTTGCTACATGTATTTTTAACAAGTGTGTTTGGGAAAGGAATGCATATGTATTAGTTTCTAGTAGCTGAAACAGTAAACGCTTGTACCATCATTTCGATGGCAATTATTATAAAGAAGATACATGGACACTGTACTGAACTAGATCAGACAATAGTTTCTACATTCAAACATTACATTTACTCTTCATGAGTTATGTGCTTTTGTGAATAACTCACAGTCTCGTAAATATGCTGAAAAAGAAACATTTTTGACAGGTGTGTGCGTATGTACACATATGCAGACATATACAGCATGGGTAAAATGTTTGACATACTGTAATTGATTTTTTGCTTATTTCAAGTGACACTTGAAACTTGGATTTAATTTAAAAGGCAGTGTTTTCCTTGTACATACAAAAATTTCAAATATCTCCAGCCATTTGTCATCAAAAGAGTTTATTGCTAAAAATGAATAGTGACTTTGTGTGTGTTTTCTATTCCTCCTTAGTAAAGAATGGAGTCTCAGATTTGATGGTCTGTAGTTGTTTAATTGGCATTATTCAGGTGGCAGAAAATCCAGCTAGGAGATCGATGTATGTGAATTTTTCCCCTGAACATACCAGTCTAGAGACATTTATAGCTCAGTGGTTTAGGTCTCTCGCTGTGAAACCAGAGGTTGGTAGTTAAATTCCCCACCGTACCTCCTTGTCATGGACTAGACTTGATGATCCAAAGGGATCCAGCTCTGCAGTTCTAAGGTTATTGCTTTCTTATTAAACCCTGTGGCACAGCTTCTTCTCATCCTGCTCAGGATTGATTTACCTGTTGTCAGATATTTAGGAAGGAACAACTGCTTTTAGAAAGTTTAATATTGGAGTAGATAAGTTTACACTGTTCAGTCAGTGTAATTCACAATAGTAAGTGGTCTAAGTTCCTTGATTTTTAAATTTTAATTTTATGTTATGTGTTTTTGTGACTCCAAATTTAATCTCTCTAGCCACTATCTGTCCTTGTATTTATTGTCTTGCCCTGTATTTGTTGGAATTGTTGTTTATATTGACTTCCACTTCTTGAAAAAAAAGCAAATTTCATCTAAGCTATGTGCTGAGGGACTGAATTTTCCCCACAATGGCCTTGATGAACCAAAGGTTTCACACAACTTATTGTCTGCCTTGCTCCAAAGAACTGTTTCACCAACTGCTTCCTATGTCAGTCTGACTCTACTGTGTGAAAGTATCTTCAGTGGTTAGATATACGGTAGCTAATTGGAAGGGGCATAGCACAGTATGTCTAGAGGCAAAGGATCCTGACTTCAGTCTCCAGTATTTTCTGATAACAAGACTAGAGAAGACCGTTGCCTGAGACTTTCCAGAACTGATGCATGCCAAAGGGTCACTATATTGTACCAGCTGGACTAACAATCTGCCTAGTACTAACATAGGTTCATATGTCGTTTGCCCTGTTCTGGAATGGGGAGTTTAAATTAAAACTTAAGTGTCAACTCTAAATGTGTTCACTCGGAAATCCCATTTGTTCCAGAGCCATGTATGCATGAGTTATTATAAGCTATTTCTACATTGAAAACAAGTCTTTTGAGATATTAAAGATTAATAAATGGTTTTTCACATAAGCTTTTGTAGACTAAAGTCCAGGAAAATTTATTCCAATTAAAACTGGATACTATTCAAGATGCCACAACTCTTGTTTTTGCTACAACAAGCTTCAGATTTAACATAGCTTTCTCTGGGAAAGATGTTATTCCTGTTATTCCTTGGCATCTTGACTTACTAGAATGTGGTGGAACTATAGGAAGATGTCAGGCAAAGAAGAAACTATGCAATTGCAGAAGGAGATGAATGAGAACTTCAAGTAGTACTTGGGGGGAAATGATGTTTAGGATATTGGAAAATAAACAAACTTGATCCCCAGGAATTTTTTTAGACTTGATTGATCAACAAATTGTTTCCCAAAATTGATTTATAATTACTGTTGTTTGCATTTTAAAAGAAGTATTTAAAATTCTTTTGGATGGGAATTTTAATTTCTTCAGCTAAACTGGTGAACAAATCATGGTGAACAAATCATGTATGGCTCCACAGCTTGAGCATCAGCAAAACATGTTAGTTACCTAGTTTTCTTATGATTTATGGCTTACTTATATAGGAGAATTACTGTGCAACCTGGACTATGTTTTCTCTATGGCAATTGATAATCAGTATGCTCTCACAAAATAATTATTTCAAGTTTGGCATAATGGACTTTCAGAGAATGAATTAGCAGAAACCAGTTTGGTTGTCCTGTCTGCCTTGATGTTCTTTTTGAATTGTCAATTATAACTAAGATGCGGAAGGAAGGGTCCCATGCTGCAACTGAGAGAACTGTATGTGTGAAATTAACATGTAAATATATCATAGCAGGGCTGGCAAAGGGGAAAACCCAGTATCTTTTTTTTGTGGTATGCACTGATGATCTGATGGTTGAAGGCCCCCAGTTGGACTTACATCAAGTACCTATCATTTACCAAGATCCTTTAAAAATGCAACTCAGTCTTCTGTGTTTTTATTCCTCTTGATAAGTTACTACAGTATTAGGTTTATAGTTGCTAGAAAAGTGGTACTTCAGATGTTATTAGAAACTGAGTGCAGCAGTTAAGAAAACAAATGAAATGGTATAGTTGGAAATTCACCAAATGAAACACATGACTGAGCTAGCTTTCCATCAAATGCCTATGTATTTCTTCTGTTAATCAAGGGAAAGCAACTTTGCTGCTTTATCAGTTCTGAAGTATAACTAGTTTAGTCATTATATGCATTGCTAAGGATCTTTAAATAAATACTGTATTAATGGATCAACTGAATTAGTGAAACTAGAAACATAACATTTCTACTTAGTTCACAGAGAGACCAGACTTGATGGTTAATTTTAGGACTCATGCTTGAGGCTCAGCATAAGGAAAATTTTATATTTTATGGGTTTTCAGTAGTTTGCAGGTGATATTGGGAGAACACTACTATTTTCTCCTTTGCAAGCAAAATTAGAGCTGTAGATTCTTAGTACTGCAGTAGTCTTCTTTTGCGGAAAGTCTGCATGTTTAGCTACCTTGTGAATATGTTTAATTTTCATCAGTTTATAAGTGGATCTTTTCCTCTATCTGCCTTGAACTCTTTCCATCTTCTTCCTATATTCCATTTGCCTGACATTTCTGTGTACATTTTCTTTTGTTTATAGTTTTGCCCAAAGGAAGCTGGCTGATGCAAAGTCAAATTATTTATACATTAACCAGAGCATTTTCTTCATTGTCTGGTAGCAGATCTCTATGTTATGGACAAGAGTCCTCTAAGCCTTACCTGGGGATACAAGCGGTGGTGGGTGGGATTGAATTTGGGCCTTTTGGCTCCACAGGATGTGTTCTACCACTGAGCAGTGGCTCTTAGACAAAGAGAAAAAGAGTATATGTAGGCGGAAGTGCAGTTCTCTGCTATGTATCCCCAGCTAAAAGAACTGTGGTGGTTTCTGGTCTCAGTGCTTGTCTCTCTGCTCACTCTGTGCTGAGGAAGAACAAGGTGCCTTTCAAATTTAATAATGTAAGTGAACATAACCGTGGCCTTCCAGTCAGAGAACTGAACTTGTAGTTGTATGCTTCCTCCTTCTACCCTTGTGGCGCAGTGGTTAAACTGCTGTACTGCAGCCAAAACTGTGCTCACGACCTGGGGTTCAATCCCAGGTAGCCCGCTTAAGGTTGACTCAGCCTTCTATCCTTCCGAGGTTGGTAAAATGAGTACCCAGCTCGCTGGGGGCGGGGGGCAATGTGTAGCCTGCATAATTAATTTGTAAACCGCCCAGAGAGTACTTGAAGCACTATGGGGCGGTATATAAGCAGCACGCTTTATTTCAGGCAGCCAGACAAGTGGATTTCATGACTGTCATAAAGTGGAATCCTGTACATGCCTACATATAAGTCTCTTTGAGTTCATTTGGCACCCTGTTTCCCCCAAAATAAGACAGTGTCTTATATTAATTTTTGCTCCAAAAATGTGTTAGGGCTTATTTTCAGGGGATTTTTTTTTTCATGCACAACAGTCTACATTTATTCAAATACAGTCATGTCATCTTCTGGTTGGTGCACAATGGTGGTTTCACTTAACTGGGACTTATTTTTAGCGTAGGGCTTATATTATGAGCATCCTGAAAAGTCATACTAAGACTTATTTTCAGGTTAGGTCTTATTTTAGGGAAAACAGGTAGATACAAGAAGGCAGTGTTATAGTGCAATTTGTACTCAAGAGGGTAATTCAGTGGAATTTATATAGACATATGCTCCAAGTTAGGTGTAAACTGGATTCGGGGTTTATAGGATATCTGTGGAACTCTTTATGAGCCTGTTTGTTAAGATAATCAGTGAGCCCTTTCTCTCGGTCTCATAACTGTCACAGATGCATTTCATGGAAAATGGAAGAGGGCTTTCTTTGTTGCTGCTCCCAGACTTTGGAACTTCCTCCTGCTGGAGTCCACGCTGGCCCTATCTTTGCTGGCTTTCCACAACCAGATGAAGACCTTTCTCTTCAGACAGGCTGTCAGAGTGGGGTTTTCTACTGGATTGTTGTGCCTTATTGCTTTGAATATGTTTTTGGTGTTGATTTTATTTACTCTTTTAATGTGGTATTTGTTTGTTTTGAAACATTTGTATATTTACTGTTTTTAGCTTTTAAATATTTTAAATATTTGGCCCTGCCACTCCAGTCCAGGTAGAAACCCATCCAACCTTTCTCTCACCTCCTCAGGCAGCCAACCACTCTGGCTAGGAGGTGGGACGGGGAGTCTCCCGGCACCGCTGGTGAGT